CAGCGCGCAGTCCCCTTGGCCCTCGCAGCCTTGAGGGGCCTTTCGGGGCCAGCAGCGGAGCGTTTTGGGGCTTTCTCTTGCCTTTCACTTGCAGAAAGTGTCCATTCTCCGAGCCAAACAGGACTGTCCATTGCGGCCTGACTCCACAGCAGGAGTTGTGTGGGAGTTAAAGCTGCAGACTTGAGTTAAAACTTCAATTGTGTCTTTGTGTTCTGTTGTTGTCTTTAAATTGGATTTTAAAAGGCTTTTTTTTTTAATGAGCATATTTAGGCTGAAAATAAGGGAGGTTTTGTTTGCATTGTGCATCTGACAAAGGGCCCTTCTGTCTTGCTCAGCAACTTGTGAAGCCTTTTGCAAACTGGGCTTTGTAGGGCGAGGAGTGTCCCAGCCTGGTTGGGTAACACTGGCCTTGGGGCAAAGGAAGAAGGTGGAGAAGGTGCATGTGAACACGAAACTGTCCCTTTGTCTGGCCTCTTGACCGAGGTGCATGTGTGCCTTAGCTGAACAGATAATATCTGTGTTTTAAATGCCAGACACAGCATTTCTTGTCCCTCTTCTAAAGAGGCCGTGAAGGAGGATTCTGAGCTGGCTGTGCTATTAAGTTTGAGGAAACGTAAAAATTAGAGAGGCAACAGTGATCAGTAGAGTTGTGGGCATGAGATTTGGAGTTGGGAGTATGGTACTGTGGTTGATACACAGATGAAAAAAAAAACTTTTTCTGGGCAGATAGTAAAATAATCTGTTGCTTCCAAGAACAATTTCAAAAGTTGTTTCAGTCTTGTATTAATATGTACATTCCGTCACATTCTTACCTGTGTCACATGTAGGAAGAATGGGCTTTTGAAACTGTTTACCTACAGACTCAAAATATCATAGAATCATAGAATGCTTAAGGTTGGAAGGGACCTCCAGAGGTCATCTAGTTCAGCCCCCCTGCACACGCAGGGTCACCTAGAGCACGTGGCACAGGACTGCGTCCAAGCGGGTTTTGAAGATCTCCAGAGAAGGAGACTCCACAACCTCTCTGGGCAGCCTGTTCCAGTGCTCTGACACCCTCACTGTTAAGAAATTTTCCTTAAGTTCCTGTGGAACTTTTGGTGCTTCAGTTTGTGGCCATTTCCTCTAGTTCTGTTGGGGGCCACCACTGAAAAGAGGCCAGCACCATCCTCCTCACTGCCTCCCTTGAGGTACTTCTAGACCCTGCTCAGGTCCCCTCTCAGCCTTCTCTTCTCCAGCTGAACAGGCCCAGCTCCCTCAGCCTCTCCTCACAGGGCAGATGTTCCAGGCCCCTGATCATCCTTGTAGCCCTGCGCTGGACTCTCTCCAGCAGCTCCACATCCCTCTTGTATTGTGGGGCTATATTTAAGTTTATGTTGACTGGAAGCTAAATGTATGTTCCAAGATAGTGTTACCACTTAATGAATTTGAAAAGGCTGGAGGAGGGAAGCAAATGGTTTCATTCATTTCTGTAATGAAGTTAGTCTTCTGTTATCCTTTTTTTCCCCCCTATTTTTTGTTTGAGAGCTTAACTGTGCATGTTAGAAAGGAGATGATCTTGCCAGTGCTACTGCTGAAGAGCAATTAGACAAGGAGCAAGTGCTCCCTTTGGTAATCAATGGACACGGCATCTTCAGGAACCATGCTTAATAAAAAGTTGATATCAGTGGGAACTCCCAATCTGAAATTTGGGGTCGAGTTAAAAATAATTAAATTTCATATACAGTTGCTGGAAATGGTGACTAGCTTTTTTTTTTATTTTTTCAAGGCCTCACAGAACTGAGTTGTATCAGGATGTTCCATCAACACACTGGCCTATCGTATATTCTCCAGACTACAACATCACATTCATGGGACTTGAGAAACTGCATCCTTTTGATGCAGGGAAGTGGGGAAAAGTAATCGATTTCTTGAAAGGTAAAATAACAAGAAGGAACCTACCTTCTAGACGAACAACTGCACAAAAGCTAACGAAATTACAGATTTGTGCTAGTAATTGTCAGTGTAATAGTGACTGTACTTCACTGCTTTTTTTTGAAAATTTAAGCTGTGCTTTATTTGTATTTGGAGTCCTTCATTTTTTATGTATTTACAGACTTAAATCTTAGCAGGATAAGTTGGTTGTTAGGATTTCTGAGGTGAATTCAATGCCATCTGTTGTGTATCACTAAAGAAATTGCATATGTGATATTTAAAAGATGGCATGGTGTCTATTGTTGGAGCAAACATTTTACACTGGGGCTTTTTAATAAATAGATTTGTGTCTCAGTCCTTTGAAAATAGATGTTTTAGTGTATTCTAGGGAATAAGCCACAGTTCTGTTTTCTTTCCAGGCATGGTTTCTGTTGAGTGGAACTCCTGAAATGGGATTGCAAAAGCAAGCTCACTGAACAGCCAGCCCTCCCTGGAGCGTGGCTGATTCTCCTCAGAATAACCAGGTTTAGATAATTTCTTTCTGGCCGAGAACTTAATGAAACTGAGTAAGGAGTGTGAAGAAACATGAATGCAGTAGGGCAATGGGCTATTCTAAAATATTTCTGTTCTTGATAACACAAATATAAGCAAGAACTGTGTAGAATTTCGTTGCTTGGCCTTCACAAGAAACAAGTATGTGGAGTTTGAGAATTGTTTCCACGCTTACCCTAAAAGTTAGCGCCATAATCTTGACCTTAAGCATAACTTGAGGTAGGTACAAAATGCTAGATCCTTATACTAGTTGTCCAGAGCTCCATGTTTGCATACTTGACAATTTAAAAATGTTTAGTAAATAGTAAAGATACTTTCTTCATACATATTAACTCTTGGAGACCACTGCTGTTTGCATTTCTAGCATTTCTAGCTTTTCTTTTGTTTTGAGGACTAAACCTAGACCTGAAACTGAACACAGACTCCAGTTTTGCTGTAGTGGATGGGAAATCCTTCTCCTGTGTTAGTGGCAAGCCGACAAATGGTTTGACTTGCAAGATCTGCATTGCAATGGAGGGAGTAGTGTGTACGACTTGGATGTTGCCACCGTGCTTCCCTTGCTTGTGGATCAGGTGAAACCAGGAAGGGAACATTCCATTGGGCTTGTAAAGGCACGAGTGTTAATAGCTAGCTTGCTGCATCCAATGGACATGGAGCGTGGTTGGTTCTGAGACTGCAGACAGTCTGGCAAACAGTTCCTTTCGAGCAGAAAGTTCACAACAACTTGAATAGACATATTCTGTATGGGATGTTTGGGCACAGCCTTGAAATGCCTCTGATTCTTGTAATGCAGAAATTCTTGTAATGGTATTTGTTTTTTAATCAAATTGAAAGATATATGTAGAAATACTTTAAGGAGTTATAAATGAAAGAACCAAGATTAGAATTCCTATAAAATCTCTTTATCTGAAGCTTAGGATTGCTGATCAAGTTTGGAGGGGGAAAAATCCAGAAAGTCACCATGCTTTTACTCTAGCTGAGACAAAGGTGGTCCCAGAGTTGGGCTTGTTTCAACTCTGTAGTCCTTTGGCTGATAATCCTTTGCAGTTAAGTGCTGTCCTTCTTGCTCCAAGCTGACTCCTATGTCAGTTAAAACATTCTAAGTCTCTTCAGTTCGTGAGGTTTTGCATCTTTCCTCTAATGACCTTAAGTCTTTGGTTCCATAACCATTGTTCTAATTAACCATTGTGCTTTAAACAGTAATGTTTAAAGGCTTTCATCTAATTCTTCTGTGAAATGTCTTTCCATCTTTCACAGAAAATCTGTGCTCTCAGTCACTTTAGACTTGGTAAAGGAGGAAGAAGCCACCAAATATACCAGGAAGCTCCTGATTTTTAACCTTCTTGATTTTTGTAGCATCTGTCAGCAACATTGTTGCTGATAGTTTCCTAGAAGATGGGGGGTAAAACTCACTTTCTACCTTTACCTTCACAAGGATGACACTTAGCACTTTGGCTTTCTGTCTCACAAGAATGAATGAAAATGTTTCCCAAGTCCCAGGAGGAACATAAGCTTACTGCAGCAAATTGTTACTGAGTTCTCACATATCACTTCAGGAAAAAATGCATTAAGTTCTACTTTTTCAAGTATAGAAGTACAAAATAGAATAGATAGTCTTAGACCTCAGGTAACTAAATATCAAAATTTGTCTAGGAAGATTGCTGTTATACCTTTCTTTTGTTATTTGTCATGATAATATACAAAGCAGCAGGTTTTTCTGCACTATTTTTGTCACACCTAACTTACAGAATTTTCTGGCAAGTACAGCTACATTTATGTCTTAAAGATGTATTATCTTTGCTTCATGCAGAAGTCTTGGAGAGATTTCCGAATTTGTTCTTATAAAACTTGTTGGTTACTAAAATGGGGTTGGGAGGTGGGGGGAAATGCTTGTAGATATTTACTGAATCTAAGTGTAGGTGGTTGCCAGAGTTAAATATTCCAGTTAAGTCTGAATTCCATGAGCATCCTAGTAATTATTTTGTTTTGAGTCTTGATTTTTTTCTCTCTGATTTAGGGAATTAAATACTGATGTCAGTTGTGGAATTTGTTAAAGAATATTAAAGACTGGAGGTGAATGCTCGTTGGTATGAGCACTAAGATTTCTCTAGTGCATTGAGGCCTACATTGTCTTGTGATTCTTACTGTATCTGTCTGTCCTACTTGTTGTTCAATTAGAACGAGAAGTTTGCATTCTGAAAACTTTCTCCATAAACAATACTTGTTATATTCACACCAATTTAATATCTTAAATGTTTAGAGTATGTATTTGGAGAACTTGTAAAAACAAGTAAATGAAAATGGTGTTAGTAATTTACATCTAGATGTAGGGTTTGCAAAGTACTGTCTTTGGCTAACCTTGCCCTGTTCCACCATGCCACAATACACAATGCCAATTGTTATTTCTCTTGTTTCAGAAGAAAAACTACTTGTAGATGACTTGATTGTACAGGCACAAGAAGCTACTGAAGATGATCTCTTGGTTGTTCATACAAGGCGATACCTTAATAAATTAAAGGTAGTTACTGATGTGCTTTTCAAGCAAGCTGTCAAAATTACTGTTAACGGCAACAAATATTCTAATAAGTTCCTTGTAGAATCAACTTTTCAGTTATGAAGAGTGGCATCATATTATGAATTAAATGTCATTGAGAATACTAAAGGAAAATTATAAAAGTAGGAAACTGAAATTATAAGGGGAACAAAAGACGGTCTATTGTGTTATAAAGGTAACATAAATGTTATGTTAGTGCTGTAATTCAAAAATCAACATAAATTGATATTTAATTTTTTACCAAGTCAAGTCCATGATTTTTTCCTTTGATTTAATGATGTTCAGTCACCATAGTAAAAACTGAGTTTGTTATGTATGTTACAATGTAATGTAGTAAAAATAAAATATCATGTTATATCTGGAAGAGCAGTTTCATGAATCAAGACTTTCTGCACTTAGAGGAAAGAACTCCAAGGAAATAAGTATAATTTACTTAATTTGGATTGGACTTAATGTGACTTTCTTCAAAGCACTTAAATTAGAATAGTTCTTGCTTATTGTGCTACTATTTTTGTGTAGTCTTGTATCTAAAATGATATTTCAGCAGTGTTAAATGAACATAAGAAAAATAGTTTGAAACCAAGTCAATATTTTTATTAGCAATAGAGTTTGTCATTAAAAGGGTGAGTTTTTGTTAAAATATAGTTCTATAATTGAAAACATGTGTTGAAGAACACTGAAATAGACTCTACAATTGATGGTATTATAAATGCAAGATATTCCTTATGGGTTCAAGCTATATGTAATCCGTAAGAATATTTAAGGATCATGTTGTCAGTCTCTGGGTATGGGAGGAAAGTAATGGCTGTACTGTAGACCCTGCCTATATTACTGGAATACAAAGTTGAAAGATGAATTATAGAGGCTCAAGAGAGGCAGGATTTAATTATAATCTTGAAAGTTAACTGTATATAAAGGCTTCTAAAACCACCTCACGTCAGTTTACATATTAACAGTGAATAAAGAACACACTGGGCATTTCCAAATGTTTGTGAGGTATCTCTGAAAATGTTTTTGGCCATCTGTAGATGGAGTTGGATACTGGCTGAGTGTAGATAACATTTGTACTTGGCAACTCTACTTGGAGGGCAGAGAAGATATTTGTATTTGAAAGCTGTTTTGAGTAATTAAAAAGAAGACTTTCTTGAGAAACATCTTTGCCCTTGAACAGTGAAAGAATGCTTGTAATGCTATTTCTGGAATGCTTTATTTTTCTATATGAGAGCTTTCTATATAAGAGGTCCATTTGGTTCACTTTTCCTTTTGAGCTATTGCACCTTTTCCTTCTTTGCTATGAACTTGCTTGAACTTTCATGCATCATTAGATGTTATTGTATTACAGCTATGCGTGCCACTGAGCTTTTGATCCCATAGAACCACCTACATCTTGTTACTGAATCCCTTTTGGAAGCAAAGAAGGTATAATGTGCATAGCTCAAGTTTGAAGTGATATAGTATTTTTAGTACATATAGGACATCTTTACAAAGAACTAGCTGTATAAATTTGCTGTTGGTGTTTATAAGCAATGTCCTGTGCATTCAGATGTCTCTGATTGATCCTTTCCTTGGGAAAATGTTTCCTTCAACTGTAGAAATAGGAAGATATGATATTTCTCATGCTACAGAATTTCTGCCAAGCACTAAAAATAACTGTTTAGCTGCAAATGAAAGTGATGAGAGTCAAAACACCTGGGGTATCTTCTGTACTTCCTTAACCAAAATCTTCTGTGCTATATTACTGAGACAAATTTTCAGGGTGTTCTGTTATCTCATCTCTGAAGACTACAAAGAGGTCTGCATTTCTGAGAATACCTACGATGCTCTAAATAGTAGATCACTGGAGTATTTTTCATTTATATTTTTGGGGATAAATTTGCTATTGGACTTCCATGCACATTTAGGAGAGGAGGAGGTGTTTAGTGAGCTTCCAGTAGCTGGAAAAGCTGACCTAAACATAGACTGAGTGGTTGAAGACTATTGAAAACTATACACAATGTAGATCAGGTAACACTGTAAACTTAGTTCTGCATTAGGAGGAAAGGTCTCTGCGCTGCATAAAATAACATGAGTGGTCTTGCAACAGTTTTTTGTTGTGGTGATTTCTCTAGTTCTGCATTAGGAGGAAAGGTCTCTGTGCAGTGCATAAAATAACATGAGTGGTCTTGTTGTGGTGATTTCTCCCCTTCCCTGATTACCTTTGAAGACCTTTGACTTTCTCTCTGTATTTTAAGAAATACATTAACATAGCAAAGAACTTAACCTATGTCTAAAGCAGTGACTTCACTCAGAATGTTGTTTTAAATATCTTCAACCTTGAATAGACAGATTTGTGTACTCTTCTCTTGTACTATGCATGAATGTCTTTCATTGATTTCAAAAATCTGGAATAGGATTGCAGATTACTTGAGTTTTTATTGCTACTGTTTCTTCCTTGTGGAATTAATTAAAAATCTAACTCCTATTTAAATTTTCTGAAATTTCCTGATTTTTCAGATAGGACATCAAAATTTGTTTTGAACTGAATAATTTTTGTTCCATTTTAGAGCGAGAGGATGGAATCTAGCTTGTTATGATATGCTTGCTTAAAAACTAAATATCATGCAAAATAATTTTATCACATTTGATTATATTACAAAAGTGAAATACTTCATGAATGGTGGAGGGGTGATGTAACAATGTTTTACAAACTTCAAAGTATGAAGAGCTTAAACTGAATGATGTTGATCATCAGTACCTTGTGCTTATTTCTTCAGAAACCTCCCAAATTAGTGTTTTGTTGCTTTGGTTAATCTGGCCAAAGATCCTATAATTTGTAAATATACCGCTAACAATCTGGCTACAGAATATGCAGGATTCTACTGAAATTTCCTAATGTTGAAGGAACTGGGATCCATTCAAAATCTTAGTATAGGATTTCTAATTCATAATACTTAGTACCTTAATGTTCTAGTATGGTAACAATTTGAAGTGTAGAAGAGGTATATAGTCTTGCTTAGGCTGTGAAATATATTTAGAAATTTCATAGCTGGTAGCAGTGTTATTAGAATTCCTTGAAGTAATCTACTTGTGTTTTCAATAAAAGCAATTTACATTTTGCAAATATTTTTGTGTTGAAACCTTCAAATCTTTTTCTTCATGACATTACAGTTGAACAAAAGATTTTCTTGAAACATATTTTAAGAGTCTTTAATTCAGTTTTTCATGCTAAGGCTTACTCTGTTTACTTACCTATCTGAATTTAGTTTAATTTTTTTTGTTCTCCTTAGTGTTGTCTTTTGATTCACTGCTGGAAAAGATATATTAGATTTGAATGATGTGTTAAGTACAAATATCTATTAATACTACTGAAAGACACTTTACAGTTAGCTTTTTGTTTTTTTGAGAGCTTACTGGAGAATTACTGATTTATCAGTATAATGATGTTAAGTGATGATTCTCATAACTATCTTGAACTACCTCAATAATTTGGAGGTTAGTGATAATATCTGGTCACTTGCCTCTGAAAATGTAAGTCTGAGCTGTATAAAAGGTCCTTTTAAGGACTTCTTTTTTGGTAAAATAAAAAAAATGATAATGAATCTTAATGTCATAGTTAATCAGAACTTTTCTTCCCCCCAACTTTTAGTGGTCATTTGTTGTGGCTACAATTACAGAAATTCCACCAGTCCTCTTTCTGCCAAACTTTCTTGTTCAGAGAAAAGTTTTGAAACCTCTGCGAACCCAAACAGGAGGAACAATAATGGTAAGGTGCTCTTTTGTCACATTTAAATATGTAGATCAAAAAATTATAGTCTTTAATTGGTAACAGATTGTGTAATTTGGAGCCCTGAGCCCTAAAACCTAATGGAAGGAAATGGGTTAGTAGTGGTCAGTAGCTGCTGAAGTATCCACATCTCTCCAAAAATTTTGAATACATTGTCATGTTTGAGCTATTTTGCAATTTTAATGATTTTAGAGCCTATTTTTATAGTGTATTATGTAAATTTTCATAATAACATGAAGTATTCAATAGATAAAAATTGTCTATATGTACCTTTAGGAAAAACTTGCTTATATTGGGAAGATAAGGTGAGAGTTGGTACAATAGCAAAGATATATCAAAGGAAGTTTCACAATCAGTTTCTAACACATTTAACAGTAGAGGGGAAGTTTAGAAAGTCATCTCCTTAATCCTGAAACTAGTGTGAAATGAGTTAACTGCTGCTTATTGATCTGAACTGTTAAGTAGAAATGACCAGTGACTTTTTTCCAAGTCACTGCACAATTCTTGCTCACTGTGATTGGAAGATAGTTTTCAGTTTTAAGTTATCTTGCTCTTCTCAGACCCTCCAAGTTGCTTTTTTTACCTCCGAAATTGTTTTGTAATTGCACCTTAATATTCTTCTCTTTCTCTTTTCTTGGATGTGCATGTTTCTTAAGACCAAAAAATAGCAAGACCTGAAATAAGTAGATTTTTTTACATTGTAACAGTTTCGTCTACTTAAACTATATTACTGCAATTGTGATAAGCAGATAAAATACAGAAAATGTTAAACTATCCTTTAAGTTACATATATTAGGAATTTGGAAATAATATGCTAGCTAATAGATAATTTTTTGAGCTTATTAGATGATGGCAGCATCTGTGCTAATCATTTAAATGATGCCTCCCAGGGCATCCTTTTCTGTCCCTTCTACTGTGTTAAGGTGTTCACCTATATTCAGGATTTTTAGAGCTTTTCTCATCATTTTACGTCACAGGAATAGCAGTAAGGTGTTTGCTCATTTTTCTGTCCTTACCAACATTTCCATTTTTGGAAGCACTAGCACCTCAGATTTTATCTATTTTAATAAGGTTTTCTACAAGCATCCTGTGCTTTTCAGTTTTTCTTTTGTCTGCTAGGGATTGATGTTCATCTTTGCAATGCATGTTTAGTTTGAGCTGTATGTCTGCCAGCATAAAATACTTATGTGATATTAAATATTATCTCAACTTATGCAGAGAATAGTTTTTCTGCTTTGTATTGAGAGGTCAATTCTGAGTGACCTACAGAAGTAAAACTTGATGGGCGTGTTAGAAACCAATATTTGCATTTAGGACAGCTTGTAGTGTGAAATGATTGACTTATCAAATTCTTACTGTAAATTTTTTTAAGGCAGGAAAACTTGCTGTTGATAGAGGCTGGGCTATCAATGTGGGTAAGTAAAATTGTAGCAAACTAAGTATTTAACATGTTTAAAATTATTATTCTCATTTAGCATTATGTGTATTCTTTTTTTAATAAGTGACTCAAGTGTAGCTACCTAAAATCAAGGCTTACGGAGGAAAAGGGAAAGTACAGGATTTATTTTCTCATCCACTCTCACCCATATAGCCATTTTGTAGTTAAAATACTAAATTCAGGGAGGGAAAAAGGTCACTCAATAAGATATGATGTTTATTTTAAGAAAACTGTTTGGCTTGAATTAATGAAATGTTTAGAATAAAGGTAAATATTTTAATACAAACTATTTTCATTAAATTATACCTTAATTTTAATGGACCTTACCATCAATCAGTTCACATGTCGCTAAACCGGGGTTTGGTTGTTGCTGGAGAATTAGATTGCACCAGTTTTTCTTGCCAGTGCTGTACTTAAATTCTGTTTTTCTTGAAAACAACATGAATGAACAAATCATGAAGAAATTAGTCAATAAAAATCTGTTCTCCTGCTCTTTTCAAATGGTGTAAAAACAGTAAGCTACCAAAACAATATTTTATCATAAAGACCCTGTTTGAAGACTATCTAGCATTCATCAGTGCTGTAATTTTCAGCTGCTACTTAAACTTGTTTTTTCTAAAGGCAGTAAATATTACGTAGTGACATCTATACAGCAGTCCTGTTTGTTTTTTAAATATAAGTAAATTTCTACCTTCAAATAAAAGGTAGTAAACCTATAGTAAAACAGAAAATTATCTTTTGCTTCTGTTACTAGCAATATATATAGCCATATATAATGTCTATTTTTACAGAGTAAATATTCAAAATAGAAAACATTAAAAACCTAAAGCCTTTTCTTTTACAGTGTAACAGCATGTGCAAGTAGTGGCAACGTGGTAATTCTTACTGGGTATTTTTTTGAACTCATATTTGGCAAAGAAAAACTCTATTTTCCAATTGCCTGATATTAAATTGACTTTGTGCAAATGAGGGCATGAACGAAGTGCAACTCTGATAATTTGTCTGGGAGTAGTTGCACTTTGAGTGTCATTTAGGTGCCACATATTACATTTGTGTATTACCCAGTTCTTATTGTATTTACTAGATTAAAAGGACAATTCCCTTTTATATCGGCAGTCAGTGGCGTGACTGGTCAAATATAAGATAGATGCAGTTATGTGCTGTTCTAGAGGGAATTCATAGCTTTAGGTATGATATAAGTGAAAACAAAAAAGCCGGACATGTAAGTGAACTCCCCCTGTATGGGAATAGTGCATGTTCCTCAGTTTTTAGCTGTTTACATGTTTATTTTAGGGGGTGGTTTTCATCACTGCTCAAGTGACAAAGGTGGAGGATTTTGTGCATATGCTGATATCACACTGGCTATTAAGGTAAGAAATACTTTTAAAATATTTTCTACTATTGGCTCACATGGTTAAAAAAAACACACAAACAAAAAACCCATGTTTATAAGCACATTCCAATTTACATCTTAATAGGAGAAAATGATCTATGGGCAGGTAGGAGTGTTATTGGAATTGTTGTACTTGATGTTACAGTAGAATATATGTGCAGCTACTATGGAGGTGAAGAATTGCAGGGATGAGAATTATGAATGGAAATACAACCAGTTACAGTTGTGGTGTTAATGTTAAACTAAAATCTAACTAGATTGTCATTTGGTATCTTTACTGATAATTATCCCAGTCTTTCAGTTGAAACTGAAAAGTCCCTGCGAGTTTTAGTGTTTACAGACAAGTCCTACTTAGAAACAGGAATCCTCTCAGAATCAAGGTGTGGGAAAGGCTCAGGGTTGGAATTCTGCACTTGTACAGTTGGCTGTCTTCACAGTGCAGTTCTCCACTCTTGCTGATGAGCCACATTTGAGAAATGTGCTGTGATCTGTGTTAGCTCCTTGCTACTTCAGAAGCTGTGCTGCTTTATCTGTCCCAACCCTCGGTGTTTGCTGTTTTCTTCATGTTCTTTCTGTCACTAACTTTGCTACAGTGTCTGGTGACATCACTGCTGAGATGAGTTTATCTGACTGTTGTGGGATGCAAAGACATACCAGCTGGTCTTGTGCAGAGCCCATGCTAATGTAACAGGGCACATTACAATGGACTTCATTTGGCTATCTGCTGCTCTTGGGTTTTTGCCTTGCATGTGGAGTCCATTTCACAAGTTAGAGTATATGATGTAGAAAAATTTTGATTCTACGTTGTCAGGCACTTGGAGAGAAAGAGATGAGTAGATGAGTAGATTTTTTTCCTCACACCTTTTCAGGTAGCCACCTGCAGAAATGTCCATGAAATATTTCACTCATTTTATGCATATGATGCAAATATGTAGATGGCTTTTTATCTTATAAACATACTTTTTATGTGAAGTAAACAGCTTTCATTATCAAGGATTCTGAAATTGTACAGCTGTTTATTTAAAAGATGAAGTGCATACACTTATGCGCTTCATTCAGATCAAAACTGCAAGCTTCAAGCTTTCAATTTAATGCATCACCTAACTATCTCATTTTCTTCTTTGCTTGTACATTCAGTTCTTATTTGAAAGAGTACAAGGAGTGTCTAAAGCCACAATTATTGATCTGGATGCTCATCAGGTGAGTCTTACCTGTATTCAGTACTGCAGATGCTTTGCTAGACAGGGGTGATGAATAGCATATTTCCAAAAGTTTCATTAAATGGCGAATCATAGAATATGGGGTTAATCATAGATAATAGAAGCTGTGAACAGCTTAGCTTGTTTTATGGTGCAACTGGCTATTAAACCAGTCAAAATTTAACTGAGTTGCAGCTCCATCATGTGGCTGGACATAAAATTATTTTTGGTTTGCATGTTGTTTGGTAGCATAACGGACTATTTCAGTGTCCCAGAAGAAACAAGTCTCTCAAGCAGAATTAGTTCAGCATGCATGATAATTACAGCACCTTTTGCAGGAGATGAATTTGACCTTCGCTGTTGGTAGTGAAAAGCCTGACTTCAGGCTAATGTAGTACAGTGTGTATCTGTTCACCTGGGCAAGTGATTTACTGTGGATACTGAAAGTAAATCTCTTGTTGGGTGGGATGTCCCACATAAATTCTGATAGTGGATAAAAGCACACTTTTAACATTGTTTTGCAAACTCATTAGTGTACCTCAATTTTATGTTCTAAATAAAAGTGAAGAAATTATGTATATTAAAACTATTGAATTAAGTTTAGTTTTACAAACTAAATACATTTTTAGAAACTTATTTTACTTGTCTCACAAAGACTTGAACTCTTGGAAAAACTTCAGTCAGATATTTTAAAGCATCCTTGTAGCAGGCTATTCTGAATGTTGGAAATGACTTTTTTTCAAAATTGCAAGGTAAGAGATTCATTTTTTGTTCTGGGTCAGTTACCTTTGTAATTTTTGCTTATATGGTAAACTGTGATACTTTGTTACTTTTCCAGGGACATGGAGATGTAAATTTTGTAATATTAACAGTCTTAAGTCACAAAAATATTGATATTATCAAACCCCTCCAGAACTGTACAATTCAAAACAGAAGTTTAGTAGATTTGGCTCTGTGGGCGTGCTGGAAAAAAAAAAACTAACCGTGAATTTCCTTCAGGGGAATGGCCATGAGAGGGACTTCATAGATGACAGTAGAGTATATATTATGGATGCATACAATAGATATATTTACCCAGGGGATGGATTTGCTAAACGTAAGTATATTTGAAATTAATATTCAAAAATGAGAAACTACTAGATTGTTAACTTCTCATTTACCAAGTCTCATTGCAGCAGTATTAACAAAACTTTTTGTTTGTGTTTTTTGGTATCGAATATATCACTTCTGGTGATCATTTTAACTCCAAATTGTAATAATGCTGTAGTATTCACAGGGATGTCTTTAAAAGAAGCATTTAAAAATGATTCCTGAACCTGTAGGTATGCTTTGTATGCCTTTTGCCTAGAAGCTTTTTTGGCCTTAAACCAAAGTCTTCCCCAAAAAGAAGGGAGGTGACTTGGAAACAAAAGTGTGTAAGATGCTATAAGTACAAGGGGCTTGAGAGTTCAAGGAGAGTATTTCATGTTAATACTATAACTCTGTACATGAGATCTGAAGATAAGTGTTCCAGACTCTGAACTTTCATTTATAAAAGGAAAGTCATGGAGTAGTCTGAACACAATATTGGACAGCTGCTGTTTTGAGGTCAAAAAACACATGAAGCAAGCTGCTATTTGGAGGTCACAATGAGCAACTACAATTTAGGAAGAGCTGAATAAAGAATTATTCACTTAAATATACTTATTGATGTTTAAATATGTTTTTTAGACTTGTATCACATGGTTGGGCTTTTTAGGTCACATGTTGGTTAAAAAGTTAAAAAGCACATATTGGTTAAAAAGTGTTACCATTAGTGATGAGATTTTTCTTAAATGTTCTGGGAGAATGTACTTATGCTCTAATCTGTGCACAAAGCAATTTTTCATTTAAGCATGTTATGCCTGTTTAGCTGCTTTTCTAAAATACAGTGGAAAAGTATCCATTGCAAAACTAGTCTTGTGTTCTCTGACAGGGTTTTGCAGTTCTTTTAAACATTAAAAAAATGCAACCGATTTGCTAACAAATAAACCTTTGGAATGTAGGAGGTTATTACTGTGGCTAATGGTAGCAGTCCATTCAAAAACTCATACCAAGTTTAGAATAGTAAGATAACTGTGATATGTTGTACTTCTGTTTAACTCCTATTTAAAACTACAAGTTTTGGAAAATATTATACCTATTTCATAATACCAGCTCTAAGAATGACTCTTTAAAGCACATCAGGTAAGTTAATGGAATAATCATAGGCAAATGAAGGCTTTAAAAACCCTTCTTTTCCATGTATCAAATGACATTTCTAATGGATGGTTTAAGACCAAAACAGAATTTTTTTAGCCATTTGAAATACTGAATTTAGAAGGAAGAAGTAAACTGGTGTTGATATCCTACATTTCTACTTCAATGTTTAAGTTCTTTGCTTTTGAGTATTGTATTGCATGAAAATATAGAAAAATAAATCCACTCTGAGTAGATGTACCATGTAAAATTTTACATATTTCAGTTACATGAAATGATCTTAATATATGCTAGAAATAATTTTGAGGGCATAGGCCTTATTGATAATGAATTCTGCTTCCAAAACTTCTGTAATGATTAAATTGCTGCAAGTTCTGTTGAAACATTCCTTTGATGTGGGAGTGTGAGGGAGGAGAGGGTCATTTGTATTGAGACAAATATGTGACAGTCCTGAAAGCATTGCTGTCTGGAGAGGCTCGGTGCGGTGCGTATTGCAGCATGCCCTGTGTCTGTGCTAGAGCTGCCTTGGGTTTTTCTTGATCAGTTGGCCCTCCTGAGCCCCGGCTCTTCCAGGCACTGGGGTGGCCTTGCAGCAGGAGTGTTGTGGTGCACCCTCTGTGCTGGGGCTTTTTCCCTGTTCCTGCAGAGCTGGAAGTACAGTTGTTCCCTTTCTACAGATGAAACATGAGGTACCAAAGGTGGTGACCTAAAGTACAGAAATATGTAGTTTCTTGTAGGTTGAATAATGCTCCTAAATAAGAATTCAATGCTAAGTGACCAGCCTAGGATGACATCAGAGGGGGATCTTTTAGAGGGAAATGGAAGTACAGCAATTTGAATCCCTAGAGTAAATCCTAACTCCTTGTTGTTTCCCTGGACTTACTACTCTTTTTCTCACCTGTTTTATTAGATGAGTCTGTTCTGCACAAGTTGAGTTTTTTTGCACACTTATAAAAAAGACTAATTAGCATTTTGCAATGCTGAGCATCATATTGTGTCTCTGAAGTGATTTGGAATTACAAAGAAGCTTAGGAAGAGGAAAAGGGAAGATAGATGGGGAAAAGACCTAGTTCACTGAAGGGCAAGAAATGTAAAGTTAACAGCTGCAGCTCAATTTAGTGCCTAGAAAAGCTTTCCTGTTGGACAGAGTGTCTTTTTACCCATCTTTAAGGCTTTAGAAGCCTTAAGAAGTGTTAGTGAAAACACTTAGAAGTGTTTTCATTAACTAGCAGTAGATGGAGGAAGGAGAGAAACTCACCTTGCACATCTTTCCCTGTGTCTATCAGTAACTCAGAGCTGAGTAATTATCCAGCACTGTAGTTCTGGTTTCTGTGTGGAGAGGAAGGCAGGATGCCTGAAGAAGCATGGAATCTTATTCAGTTAGTGCTTAATGGCTTCATGGGAGCAATTTGTATTTGCTCCCCATGCTAATTTATTTGCCTTATTCTTTAAAGCTCTATCTATCCTCTTTACCCTGAAGAGACTCTCAAGTGTTCAGAGGAGTACAGCTATGTAGACCCTCATGAAGGTTTTATATATAACAATAAGAAAGGAATTCAGGAAATGATGTTGTAAAGAAACAAATCTTAAACTATTTTTGATATGAGGAGGACATGGAAAGGAAAAGACCTTTCTTCATCTTGGACAAGGATGAAAAATGGGGAAAGAAGTGCCCAGCAATTATTAGTATGAATTGTGTCACTTGCATTCATGCACGCTCAGCAGGTGTGAAACCACACTTAAAATTCAGCCCCAGCCATTTAATTTACAGCATACTGTATGCTGAGGCAAAAGTCATACCTTGAAGGGCATCTGGAATAATTTGATTAGCTCATGTTGCGTTAACTGCCTAAGAATCCCCTAAGCTAGAATGTATAATCTTGAGTCTCTTCCCTTTTCTACTTCATCAACCTTCTTTTGCTTCTAATGCCATATAATAATTTGCTTTAAACTAGGAATAGATATTTGCTGCTTCTGGTCAGATTGTAGAATAGGAACATTAAGTCGTAAATGCTTGGGGCAAAGATAAATGTAGTTGTAAAGGGCATAACAGCAAATGATCATGAATTTATGTGAAGTTGTGTTTATTTTTAATCAATCTTGTTTATTTATCTTAGTGATATTGTGTCTTGTTTTTTTACAAATGATTTTCTATATTAGCAGTTGTGTTTTTCCTTGCCCTTTAAGTTTTTAATTTAGTGATTTTCTTTGCTGATTACTCTTTTTCAATAACATTTTCTACTTACTGTCCTTGAGAATTTTTTGTACATTAAATGTTCTCTCTTCAATGGATTTTTTCCAGGTCATTATGCTTATATTTGCTGCTGCATTCTGGGAAAACAAATTGTTGAATAATGCTTTTTAATTCAAGATTCTGTGAGAATGCAAGATACTCTCAATTTTGAGATTGCTCTTTTTTTATTTATGCATATCTCTTTGATAGCAAATTGTATTTAATAATGCTGGAACATTTTCTAGGTGCCATAAAACGGAAGGTGGAGTTAGAGTGGGGTACAGAGGACACAGAATATCTTCAGAAGGTGCAAACTCACGTGGAAGGAGCATTAAATGAATTAAAACCTGACATCGTTGTTTATAATGCTGGGACTGATATTCTAGATGGTGATCCTTTGGGAGGACTTGCTATTTCGCCCCAGGTTTGTATAATACTGCAATATGTACAGAGCTCCTCTTCTCAACAGATACCGAAGGTAGACCTTAAAATGAATTACTTGGGGAAGCTTGTTAGGCGAAGGCGAGAAGAATATTTCAGCTGAAGAGGACCTGATTCTGTAACAGATGCATTTTTCTGCCCTTTCCCCATTTTTATTTTGTCTTCCTTTGCTAATGTGAAATATTTATTCTTCATGTGCCCATTGAAATATTCCTCATCTTTTCTCTAAGTTATAGAGAATTATTCCTCTAAATTATTCCTCTTGAACATCCAAATAGTACCCAGAGAGGTGTATCTTTTCACTCTTAACTTATTTTTTCCTATGTTTGGGAAGTCCTTCCTCCTGCCCTCAGCCCTGTTCTGTGGTTTCTCCTGCCATCTCCCCCAGCAGGTACCTTGCACACCATTTCCTCACTGTGCTCTTCTGTTTCAAGCTATTCTGGTATGCTTCAATTCTAGCTACTTTGTACACCTCTATCTGCAAATTCTTAACAGTTTATTTATGCATTTTTTTCTATTGAAATATCCTTTTTCATTTCAGCTTTATTTTTTTGCCATTTCTGTTTCATGTTTTTACTCCCTAATGTAGTTCTTGTTTCTAAATAGCTTCTTAGGCGAATTGATTTTCCTGATGTAACAGATTCCCTTCTTCTCAAAACACAAAAACTTGCTTATTTCTTCCAGTTCCTCTGTGATTTCTTCTCTGAGAATTCCTTAGTCTTTCTGCTTTTATATCTGTTCTTTTTTTGCTCTCTACAACTTCAATACAGGAAAAAAAAAATGCATTGAACTGCCAGAATTCTTTCTAACTGAGCAATCACTTAGCCTGCTTAGTGGCTGTTTTGAGGTACCTCAATTCTCAGGCTTGTTTAGAGCCCTTATCCCTGCTGCTTTTGTTGACTTTCTTATGCAATTGCTCATTCTTGCAGTCTATGTAACTGGGGAGTCTGGTGTTTTCTGAGTGCCTGCAAAGCCCTTCCTGGGTTGGGCTGGAACAACTGAAGTGCACTAGATCCTCAGGCTTTATTCTTGTGATCGTGTAGAAGTCTCCAATTGGAAAGAAGTGCTAAAGGGCTTGGAGTCCAGTTTTTAGCTGGGAGAAGATATTGCTTGAGCTGCATGTTAATGGAACAGAGCTTCTCAGAAAGGAGGGACCACCAAGGAAATAGAGAGTGATGGTGTATGTTAAGGAATTTAAAATGTGCTTTTTAAATTTTGTGCTGTGTGAGAGAATGCTGTTAGCTGCTAAGGAAAATGAATTGCTGTGCCTTGCTGGTGCTATGTAAAGGAGAGACTGTAGGGGCTGGGGGAAAAGAAAAAAGGTGAAGATGGATTTGAATAGAAGCTGAGTTAAAAAGCAGAGTATCACTCTCCAAGCAGCCACTGGTTCAGCTACCTGATTGGAGAAAACATTTCTGCAGCTCAGGGTTTTATTTCTTTAATTGCTGAGTAGACTTTGTCTTTGATCTTATTTGCTACATGTGAATGACGTTTGACCAGTCTTGGCAAATTCTCAGGCTATTGGAAATACCCAAACTATAAATGCTACTAGTGGCACTTGGCAATTAAATTATAGCCAGAATATTTGGGAAGAAGCATGCAAGTTCCTGCTGTTATTTTCAGCATTTGTATTTTCTTTTTGGGTAACAACCAAATGCTAAAAAATCAAGTCTTTCTTCAATACTTGCAGAACTGTCCAGTAGAGATCAAGGAGGAGGGATGAGGAAGTTAGGCTCACATGAGCTGTGCCTCTTTACAGTTCTTGTGTCATAATGTTTTCTGTATCCAATGATGGTTGTCTAGGGACTTAGAGCTCATTCTGTTTTTTCTTTTAAGGAATTACTCCTAATAAAATACTTGTTTCCTTTGTCTTATTTTAATTTTAGTCCTGCTTTCTTTTCTTTTCTAGGCCTTTCAAGCTATAAAGAAACCTCTATCATTGCATGGTTTTACAAAACATTTGCAGTTAGATTTGAATTTTATTCCTTCCTTTTACCACATACCTTTTTGGTTTCTCTTTCTCTTTTTTGGTAAAGCAGTATTCCCTAATTTAGCTACAGAAAAGGGTTCCTCTGCTTTTACTCTCCAACTAGCATATGTTTATTTTGTACCACTTCTGCTTCTTTATGATTTTCTATATTTCGTAGCATTTTTAATCCTTTTTTCTTATTCCAACTCTGATTTCCTTCACACCGAAATTTAGAGCTGATACTCTTCTAGCATAAAATAAAGACTTTTATTAACGAAACTAGAAGCTTAAAATTAAGCTAATGGCTGCTGATATGTGAGATCTGATTTGAATTTTCCATTCTCCTGCAGGCTTGTGGGAAAACTGATCTGGTTGCTTAGCATCTGCCTAAGAAGAGCAAGACTAGTAGAGTAAGACTAAGGAGCACTACAGAAGTTAGGCACAAACAAGTGTTGTGAATTTGGGCAATTTTTGTCTCAGTTCATCACCTGTTTCATGCAATGAGTTTAGATTTTATGATTTTTGGGCAAGAATTCTTCTAGGATATTTTATAAGGAGGCTTCAGTCTATTGTATCCTCTAAAAACAAAGTAAAAGACATTTGGGGTATTTTTTTTTAAGACTGAACTTTTAAAGCTGTTCTAGAGTCTTGAAAGTAGTTTGTTCCTAATATAAAATGTAGGGCTTAGCCACTTATCCAATGCTATAAATCATAGACTAGAAGTCTAAAAACTAAAATACTGTATTTATATCCACTTTTTTGTAATTGTTTTAAATACGTAGGGGATTGTGAAGCGAGATGAAATAGTATTCAAGGCTGCCAGAAGCCGCAGAGTCCCAATCCTGATGGTGACGTCTGGAGGCTATCAGAAGAGGACGGCGCGGATTATTGCTGATTCTATTATTAATCTGCACAACCTGGGTCTTATTGACAAGGAGCTAGCAACCAGTGGAGCTGAAAATCCTAAGGTAGAACAGATGCTTAGGAAATGTACTAAAGACTTAACCAATTTGTCATTGCAATGACAAGATCCTAAATATTAGGAATCAATTTACTGTTTCAGGAAAAGGAGGTCTCCACATCATTAACAGGGTTTAATATTTTTTTAAAAAAGAATTTAGCTTGAGTTTAGAATAACAAAGCATATTGTCACAGAATAACTGTGTTTGTATCCTGAACTGATCTTGAAGAAAGGCAACCTGTCCTTGTGAACTAATTTAGACTTACATTGAAAAGTTTTTCAGTTGATTGTTTTACTGTAGAAAACATTAATTGCTTCTTATTGCTGTGGATTTTCTGGTATGTATAGAGCTGTGTAGTTGGTATCCAAAGACTGCCACCTACATTTCAGATGATATGATTTTGACAGTGATGAGGGAAATATGGGCTAAACTCAACTTGTAATTTTGCCTCATATATTATGTTTTTTTTAAATTATAAGAATTCTGTGCAGTCTTCAATTGTTAGCTTAATGCTAAAATTTATGTGCAATACTATGAGTAATGGTTTGATTATTTATTTTTAAGCCATAATCTATTAGAATGAAAGTTTATTAATTTCTAATTTATTCCTACTGTTGGCAATGACTTCAATCCTACTTTATAAACAACTTTAGAAAAGGAATATGA